CCCCTAAGTGAGGTTCAAGACACACTTCTAGACGAGTGACGGGTTCTATACATTCGGGTGACCGAGTAGCCTTCGTGGTCCCTCGAGAATAAATATAGTTGAGCCTAGTCCCATACGAGTGCTTGCGGTCCCCCCTTGTCCGGGTTTTTTTTTTGTTTTATCGAAGTTTTGGGACGAGACATTCGTGTTACTTTTCTTTTCTTTCGTGATTTCTCCAGGAGTTTTGAGGATTTTATTTTACTTGAATCTTTTTCGTCGAGTCTCTCGAGTTTTTTCGTTTTTCCTCGGATTTCTTGGACGACGTTTTCTTCCAGATTTTATCTTTTGTGATGCATTTAGGTTTGTTACGCTTAAGAGACACCGGATCTCACGGGCGTTCAGGTTTGCTTTACATTTTACAGCACTTAATTTTCCTGTTTCTACATGTTGTTGTTCTTCCTGTAAATCATGTCATATTACTCATGTTTCTACTTGCTACTGTTCTCCCTGTATAGCATGTTACATTTGTCCTGTTTCTACCTGCTACTGTCTTTCATGTATAGCATGTTGTACTGCTCCTGTTTTTCTTTTGCTTATTACTGTTTCACTTGCATGCTACTGTTCGTTCCTGTATCGCGCATTTTACATTTTATAACTTTAAACATGTTTACCTTTTTTTTTACATAGGATGTTTAGAGGACTACAACCATAGGGCCATTTGATTTGATACTATAACTGGACACCCTAGAAAACTTAAACTCGTCACGTCGAGGAGCTTGGAGCTAGCGCAGTGGGCAGCACGGCCATCTTCAACAGCAGGACATGTTTTCCTCAGCAAAACCTTTCCTTCTCCTAGAAATTAAACAATCCATAGATTTTCGAGGTTGTTTGCCTAGCGCAACATAAATCCTCCACCTTTTCTTTAGGCATTCGTATAGCTCTGCTATACGATTTAAGCCCTAACTCGTTCTAGGTTCCGAGGTTGTCGTCCAATACGACGTAAACCCTCATATCTTCTAGGCAATTTGTGTGGTTCTGTCACACAAATATAAGCCCTAATTAAATAAAAATGACAGGATGAAACACTTTAGTAATTTCTTCTCAAAATTGGAGCCAAATCACAGGATAGACTGGGAAGCCACTGAGGTTCTCCTCAGGATCTGTGGCCTCCCCTAGTTTCTCTTCATTTGGATTCCTCAACAATGTTCCAGATTTGAGCATTTCCCCTTTCACACCTTCTTAGTCCGATTTCGTTGAAAAGTCCTATCCTTTTGACCTCTTTGAAGACATTATCCCCTGATTTTTATCGAGAGTTTTCTTAGGTGACTTCGGTCATTTAAGATGTAATTAACTATAGGGGCTTGCCCTTATAGGGAGCTTTTCCGAACCCAGCTTAAAATAAACCATATTTAATTCTT